CGCAATTTCCGCTCTTTTCCTTTCCCTTTCCCCCACTGCCTTACAACTGTCATATTATTTCTAAATTATTTTTATGCTCCAATAATTTTTTTTCTTTCACCACAAAAATTCTTATTGTCATCTTCCTTCGCTTGATCTTATGTTTGACTATTGTGCTTAATTAATTGTCACCTTTAAATAAATTAGTGGTATAAAAACTCCTTTTATTTTATAATTGAGAGGTAGCAAAGTTTGATTCCACCTATAATTTTAAACCATTTTAATTGGGCTCTAGTTCCAAAAACAAGTGTCTTCCAAGAAAAATGTGGCTCATGAATTGTTGTTTGGTAATTAAATCAATGTGCGGACCGAAAAAATGTTGCAACCATTCGTAATTTAAAATCAATTTTAGTGCTTCATTTGATTCTTAATACGAGCCTAATTAAAAAATAAATAAATTAGTTAATTATAATAAATATGACTTGATGTTTTTAAAATAACTAAATGTAACATTAGATTATATACTACTTTGTAAATCAAATAAGTTAAATATCTTATATTTAAGTTCAACCAAGCATTTATAACTAACTTTTATAGTGAAAATTGGAGATACTATCTGGCATGAGATCAATGATAAAGAGAGAGACTAGCAAGCAGCCATGACTTCTTAAGATTTTACCCTTTTTTCTTGAACTTGTAGTAGTGTTTTGCATGTTTAGCCCTCCAAAATTTATATGAATTTCATACTATATGCATGTTTCTTTTAACCTCGATCTTACTTATTCTTAAACTGTACTATGTCCTCTTAATTATTCTTAGATTTCGGTCTGGCTTCGCCCCAGTTTGGTTGCACTCACTCATAATGCTGACCTTATAACAACAGTACACAGAGGCTCCACCACTGCTTTCAACACTCCACACATTTTTCTATATATAATCACATCATAGCCCTATCTGAATCGTCTTAGGTACATGTGATGGCTCCTGATATGTTGTTAATTTTCATTCCTCTTAATGATGAGCGTATGATCATCATAAAACGCGGCAGCAACTTTTTCAAAAAGAAAAAATAGGTCAAGATGGGGTCATCATCCTTTGCTGCAGGTTAATTATTACTCCTCCGGTCTTTAATATAAGACTTAGTTGTTGAGTTGATTTTGATCATAAATATAAGATTAATTTCTTATATTTATCATTTTTTTTCCTTAATTACCCCTATGAATACTTCCTCAACTATAATCAAGTAGAAGAGAGAGAGGGGATATTAAAAAAGATGATTATCGTGTTTTAGGAAAGACATGTTATATTTCTTATAATTAACTAACTTACCTAACTTTTTAAATTTAATCAAATTAGTTAAATATGTCTTATATTAGAGATCGGAGAAATATTGATCCATGTTGGAAAATTGTTGAGTTGGAATCTCCTTTTCCTCATAGATATGTCTCCTCCAATGATTAAGGAGATATGAACATCATTCACTTATATTTCCGCCCCACTTGTTCACCCCATCTCTTTGAATTATTATAATCAATCTTACTCATTACGATTAAACAAACTGCAAAAGTTTAATGATATCTTGAGAAAAATTATTAATACCATTACAGTGCACGTACAATGATTGTGATTTATTTTTTCAGGAAGAGAGAATCAAATTGGGATATTCATTCAAGACTCGGATTATTATTCTCTCAGTTTTTGCTGTGATTGGAAGCACAATTTTCTTAAAGCTGATATAATTAGCTTCTCCAGATACTGCTAAAGTTCATCCAACTCTCTCCCCAATGGAGTGTTAGTGTTTTACTGACCTGAGTTCTCACACGAGCTGAACAGTCTTCCTTTTTTTAAACCTGTTTTCGTGTAACTAAAGAGATTCCAATGCCTGACACTGCAAACAAAAAAAAAAATGCAAAAGCTTGGCTCTTTAGCTTGAAGATATATCTAGGAACCTTCATCCATCATCATGATGGTACGCTGTACCATATATTGGTTAAGTTCCATTAAATTCATATCCGTAGTAATTAAAACAGTATCTACGAACTCTTTCTTTGAAGTTGGCCCCAATGATAGGAAAGACTTCTTTTTGGCTGTCCATTCTTTTGATTTCTCTCATATTGTATCTTTGCCTTTTTCTTCTCGTTACTTTGTCTGCTATTGATGGTGAGAAAGCAATAAAGGCAATTGGGCAAAAAGGCCTATGGGTTATTACAGATGCTTTTTTAATTTCCACTGTATAATATTATTACATTTTGGCCAAAAGCGCGTTCAGCTGAAGGGAGCAGATTTTGTTGCCGATTCACCTCCTTTGTTTATGATATCACTTCCAAGGTTGGAAAAGGGAATCCACTGCATGCTACCAAAGACTTTTCAGAGTGGGGGGAAAAAAAAAAACTCCATGCACATTGCATATATTGCTTCTTGTGGTTGAGGGAAAGTTCAATAACCCTATATATATTTGATCAGTGGTTGCTTGTCAATGGAAGCAAGATTTGATGACCCCTTTCACACTCAAAATTCTATAGCCGATAATTTTAATGCAGTAAAAGCGATGCTGCAACACAAAAAGCTGATTTAGTTGGTAAATATACAACTCATATTTCAAAAAGACATGAGTTTGAATCTTATTTTTTACTGTGACGATCTTGTTAGTAGGTGATTTGCGAATATTTTTGAGGTATATTATCTTTAACTATGACAAAACCTTAATAATCAACTCGTCTAAACTTTTTGTTAAAAAAAGAGAGAGATCTAAGGTATATTATTGTTCTTTTAATGACTTTCTTGGAGGTTTATAATTTTCCTTCAAAGTCAAATAATTTTACGGGAATGGGCTGATCATGTCTAAAATTTACGTGATCATGATCATTGTTTAATCGAATCAAGTAAAGGTATGGACCAATATAGCAGGCAAAACCTAAAATTGACAGCAAAATACATATGTGACACCAGAGGTTGAAAAAGTAGCCGTTGTGAGTCTTACCATAAGAAATAATTTAATTAATGGGTTAGGTTAATAGATTGTTCCGATAGCAATATCCAACGTATAGAAATTGGTTGCGAAGCCATCACACGTATAATAATAGAACGTAGTAATATATATCACACGCCACTGATCTTGGACCAGTCCACGTGGAATTAGACCATAGGAAGGAGAGCTTAATTAAAGTTTGGGACGTTGGTGATTTGAATTAGAATGCTTGACTAGTTAGATTAAGACAAAAAAAAAGCATTATTATAAAGTTGATATGATAGAGATTTGTAAGGAGCAATCAGTATGCAAAATATTAATTCCTCAGCCAACATGATTGATCCAATTACGTCATTTTGAAGTGAAGGGTAAGTCAGACGCGTTGATTTGTCCTCTTCGCAACTTGCCACCACCAGAGAAGAAGAAGAGATATATAGACATACACACGTAGCTTGAAATTGAGACACAGTAATAAATATTTAATTTTGAAAGCAACCTGATGTGGTCGATCTGTCTCTGTGAATAATTGCCAGGGAGACACGTCGAGAGAGATCACAGTGGCGGATTTTATGTGTGTTGGATGGGCTAGCCACAAATGAGTGAACATAATTAGGATGATAAGGATGAGATTAATTAATAAACCTGAGCTTAATCAAAGGGAGTGATTATTATTAGAGTGGGGTAACGGCATTATTACGATGGAGAGGTGAGTGATGACGAGAAAAGAACGTGCCTGTTGCTTTCAGTTTGAAACTCATATAATACCTGCTTTCTCATGCATAATAGCTCGCAAGATAAAGGCCTTTCAAACTTGGGAATAGCTGATGTGGTGGTTACCTTTTTCCCCCTCACCATGTGCACCTCCTTTTGAAGTCTATAATGCAAATGATATTTTCGGTTCTAAATATAAGATTTAGTTTATGATATAAATTAGATTTTATAGATGGAAGCAGTACAAGAGATGTAGATTTGCAAGGGACCAAATGAGCAAATGAAATCCACTCGGATCCGCTTCCTGTTTTGCACCGAACAAGCAGTGTGGTCGCAGGGTCCCAAAACCAGCTATATTTGACTTTGTCGTCATTTGATGATTCCAACGTATGAACTGTGTCGTGTGCCTCACAAAATCAGATGAACATGCATGTTCATATCATTGCCCATGCATTCCTACTTCAATTATATCCTCATTATTCCGTCTCTCACTTTCGGTTCTTAGTTTTTGTTACTATTTTTTTGAGACGCTCTTCCTTCCAAATTTTGTCAACTTAAAAATAAAAAACAAAGAGAGAGTAATGATCATTTCAATTTTAATCTAAAAATAGCCTTCCTCAGATTGCTTCCCTCAATTTTCCAAAAATATAAGCTCCATTCATGTGAAAAACTTGCATCTATGATCTATATGTAAAACATATTATCATGTTTTTAGCAATAATTATTAATATGAAAAACATAATTAAAAACTTCCTTTTAAAATTGTAGTGGATGTACATCTTCATGATGTTCTGTATAAATGAGGCAACCTGAGCCTGCAACTTCTTTTTTATTTTTTATTTTTGTAATGGGCTTCCATGGAAATGGCCCACATATCAGTCCAAGTACTTGGTAACCCCGAGCCACAACCCACGACCATGTTTGTCTCTGACCTTTTCTTAGGCCGAACGATACTCTTCAATCCCGTTTGGTACGAAGCATTAAAAATGAAAGATATGGACTACGATTGTAATTTAAAAAAATCAATAAAAAATTCTTTAATATGAGTAATTACTTTTTATATGAGATTAGACAAACTCATGAAAGTAAGACCAAGGAATGCCACCTCCCCACATGGTATTTCTTAATCCCATGTACATGGATTTATCTAATTCCATGTAAGAAGCAACTTATCATACTAAGCACTATTTTCTCAATTTCAATCCCAATTCATATCTTTCATTTTCAATACTTTATACCAAACAGAGCTTTAGATTCTTACTTTTAGTAACAACATCAGCCAACTTCAGCCAACCCAAACGATTATTTATTATTATTAACTAGGGAAAAAAAAAAAAACAAGAGTGAGCAACTATTTTCCTCTATTGTTATCGCCTGTGTTCGGTTGTACACCATCACTCGTATAAAACATGGTCGAGCTTTACAAACAGAAGTGAAAGACTTACAAACCAAAACAAAGTATTAAAAAAAAAAAGGAAATCGAATGTCGTTTTCTTTTTGTAAGTTACAAATTTGGTATTGCCCCTCGTGGCGTCTTAACCTATCTAGGAATTTAAACAAAGCCAAATGTGAGAAGCTATACAGCAACTAAAAATCCTCTCCTTGAACTCTTGACGACAGCCTCCATTCATGACGAAACATGATTGCTTCCACACCAAAGGTTTCTGCAATTTCAGAGAAACCATTCCACCCATCATACGCAATGAGCATGGAGATTAACACTATTTAAAACCTAAATCTAGTTATAATCTCATATATATATATTGCTACTACATTGGAATGGCAACAAAACCACAACATGGCATACAGAAAGAGACAACTTCAGAAAACAGAAATGTAAAATAATGAACGGAAAAAAGGCACTTACAGCAGACATCCTCCACGTGGTTTCTTCTTCTTCTCGTTCTGTTTTTGAGGAGGCTTGATCACCATCTTGATCGCAGCATCAAACACCGCCTTGACGTTCTGTAATTGATTCAGGAATTAAGTCATTAACGTACATTTGCAGCAAAAATTTTTAAATAGTGATATTCATCTGCCGAGAATGATGACCACTGAGACACAGGTATTCAAAACATCATTTAGCATCAATTCTTGTTAATTTATAACATCTTGTCGCCGAATGAGCTCATTCACAACCAGGACCGATAGCCTCGTCTTCCTAAGCAAACACTAAGGTGAACTAGCACCTTCTGTATGTTGTCTCTAACTAAGCTTTCCTGAGGCCTGAGAAACATACAGGGGCCCACCTATGGTCCAGACAACAATATAGCCCCAGTGAATAACTGACAAAGTATTTTCCACGCACATATTTATCTATGCTGTACTTGAGAATTGAGATATTTGAGCATTGTTAGAATAAAATGCTAACATAACATACCTGCTGAGTCTTTGAGCTGCACTCTATGTAATAGGTAGCTCCAATTTGTTTACGGAGTTCCTCACCCTGTTATGAATTAAAGACTTGTAGCATCAAGGACAGGTAGTTTTGACAATTGAATGATGTTGAACAACTAAAAGGGGGAGATATTACACCTGCTCAGTAGTCACAGGCACTAGACCAGGATGATCAGCCAGATAGTACTTATCTTCTCGGAGATCTGCATGCTCATTAGAAAGCATGCATTAATTCTTGCAGAACTCAACACACACAATACTTAAAATCATTGATCAATGTGCAAAAACAAAAATAATACACAAATTGATAGGTTCGTTGTTTGATCATTTCTTTCAGGTATGCTTATTTGCTATTGCTATTGTTATTGCTTGCATCAAACAAGTTAAAACAAAAGCTTTAAGTTACAATATTAGATAAGGTTCCTTTCAGAACAGATTCTTCTACAAGAAGTGACGTTTCTTCAGAAAGTGACAAATGAAGCTCTCCAACTTAATAGCCGAATCAGCCCCAAATTAAGGAGCTAACCAGATTGATGATTGGCAAATTTTATTGTTCTATTTCTTAATCCTAAAACAGCATCTCTCAAAAGAACTTACATGCTGTGCTATTGTTTGACGTCTCTGTTGACACCTGACAGTCAACATTTTGCATAATAAAGCCTAACTGAAATTTATTCATTAAATTTGCTCTTAAAATTTGTATGAGGCTTATCCAGTTCTCCCTAACATCAAGACTTTTTTTTTTCGGATAGCATAACATCAAGACTTTCTATGAGCTAATAGAATTTTCATACCGGACCCAATATGACAATAGTCAATAGAGAATTTACTTGTACCGACCTAGTTCTTTGCTGTAATATTAATAACGGGACAGTTGTTTATACAAAGGAAATCTTATAATCAAAAGACCAAGCAGCATCGGACTAGAACAAGCATTTAGAAAGTGCTCCACGACTTACCCAGTTTGGTACCTACTAATACCACTGGAACGCCAGGGGCAAAATGCTGTAGTTCCGGGATCCACTGAAAAGTGCATTCAAGTAAGAGAATGAAAGAGAAATCCCCGATTGACGTCAAAGAATCATGATAGAAAACCCACCTTCTTCAGTATGTTCTCGTAGCTTGCACGACTAACTAAAGAGAAAGCCAAGACAAAAACATCTGCTCCTCTATAGCTCAAAGGCCTCAATCTGTTGTAATCCTCTTGCCCTGCCCAAAAAAAAAAAAAAAGGGACATTAAATTTTTTTCCCATTTTGAGAAATAAAAATCTGGAATATTAATAGTGAGAATTATATTCTCGACTAAGGTTCTTCAGTTGGTATGATCGAAACTACAAGGAATCTCAGTAGATATATACCAGCAGTGTCCCAGAGGCCTAAATTGACGGTTGTGCCCTCAACGACCACATTTGCACTGAAATTATCGAACACCGTCGGGATATAGTCCTGAGGATCAACCCCAAGCAAGCTTGAAAACCAAAATTAGAGTCCAATACACAAGCAGAGAATGATTTAACACAAGCAGTAATCAAATCTACCGGACAATTGGGTTTCTAGCCTTCATTTTCTCATCAGAATTAAAAGCAAACCCTCTTCTCCCAATTCGCTAAGTATTACGTACATAAAAAGAAATTTCCTTTATCAAATTATAATGATCTACCAGACAGCTGAAAATTCAGGACTCTTATACATATTAAGAACCAAAAAGTAGTAATGAACAACAAAAAGTCGAAGACTGGAATTGATCTCGACAAAAACAAGAGAAAGGAGACATACAGTTGGGAATCTATTGCTGGTATAGCACATAAGCATGCAGGTCTTCCCCACAGCTCCGTCTCCAACAGTGACGCATTTGATGAACTTTGAATTACTCGCAGCCATTTTAACTTGAAAGCAACAAAAGAGGAAGCTCTCAGAATAATTTTACAGAGAAAACAAACAGAAAGCCAAAAGGGAGTTTTTGCTGGATTTTACAGGTTGGAGCTTCTGATAGACTCGGATGAAAAAGCGGGGAGAGGCAAGAGTTCACATGGTTCTCACACTCATTTACTCCCCACTGCCCCAACTTTTTCCCCTCATCTTGGGGAAACTGAAAACACGCCGAATTACATGGAAGCGCACCTAACCAACGTAAATTAATTTTGTCTATTTTGCTTTTCAACATTGTTTCTTAGTCTATTAAATTATTCATATATTTATTAGGACAAATTTTTTTATTAGTATGCTAGTGACTGACGGCAAGGTCCTATTTGATGGCTTGTACATTAATGATTTTTTTTTTGTTAATTACAAATTTTGTGATAATAGTTAAAAAATGTATAGTCTGAGATTTTAATACCGTGTTGGCTGTGATTGATGATGTTTTAACAATTCGTGTAAATGAAATAGGCGTGCGGTGCCTTTAAACCTTGTAAGGCCAGTATATAGAAAAATGAGACTCAGGCATGAAACATGCCTCAATCACCTACATGAAGCAACAGCTTTTCATCAATTCATGAGAAATAATTTTCTTCATAGTAAATATGATGGGATCAGGGATAATGGATGCTTGGGTTTGTTTTATAACCTATATCCCATCAAAATATTTTTTGTTACATAATTTAATTTAACATTTGCTGATTTGCACGTAACTTTACCTTGTAAATTTCATGATTATCAGCATAATGATTATCACGGCCGCTGCTCTCAACGGCAGCCTCTTAGTTATAAGATTTTAAAGATATATGGCTTCTCTGGTTTATGTATGGATGGTGCGATGCGATTGAGTATTTTCCTTTAGATTTTGAGGAAACAGAGCATTGTAAAGAAAGTTCATCGAGTTCTAGCGTGCGTGTCTTTTTCTGTCGGCCATTACTTGCAAAAATAGTGTTTTAAGAAGAAGGCACTTTCATATCAGGAAGCGGTTATACTGAAATATTGTCTTATTCTGTCCGTATCGTGGAATAAGCAGAAGACAATGATTATGCTAAAATATTTGCTTCATCAAGATGACTTTCTAGCAGAGGTCTCCTTTGTGATGACGATGGGGATAGTTGCTTGTGAACTTTATTTGACTTCTGATTTTCCTCTTTGGATTGTGCCCACAATACTGTGTAGAATCCGATCACAATTATTACGGCTCCAATAATGCTGCAAAATGAGTAGTGGAGAAACATAAACAGATCGCCAAATGAAGGCAGACACAATGATTATGAGTTTACGAGGAAGAAAGAACAAGGTACCTGCCAACGTAGAGTGTGTCCCCAAGGAAGGCCACACCCATCAATGCAGCAATTGCAATCCCCACAGGCTTGAACAGGGCCACAAATACAGGTCCTTTCTTGTGGATGCACCATGTCAGCACAGAAAATGTCACCACACTCCCAAAAATCGCCTGCAAAAAGGTTATCTGGTATTGGTGTTCCGCACAGAAATAAGTCAAACGGCAAAGGGGAAACTCAAGTCACATTTTAACCATTTGTTATCAGAATATCAGATAACCTGATATCAACGTGACAAGAAAAATTTTGAACTGTTCGCCAATTCAAAGCTTCATGTGTTTTCTGTGATATCAACGTTATTATTTTTTGGGTGCCGCTGGTAGAAGCTTACTGAATAGATAATGGAGATAAGTTCAATGTCAGGTCCAAGTGTCCATGCATTGGGATCTCTGACTACTATTAGAGAGAGTATGCTGCATTGGATTGTTCCAAAGAGGCAATAAAAGGCCACAATGGTCAGCTCAGATGGATATCCTCTCAGAATTGCCGCCTGCAAATATGTTCATTCAACTAAATCAGAATCTAAAACCTCAACACTCATCATCATCGTCACCGATAAGTAATATGTATCACCTGAGAAATGCTCCAGACTGCAAGAGATAAACCAGCTGTTGCGAGGAAGAGACCCCCAATCACCCAGTTGTTTGTTTGCTCCAACAAGGATTGAGAAGGATTTTCAGGGGAATCATTTGGAGATTTGCCGATGGAAGCTCCCTTGTAAAGGGTCACGATTAATGCTCCTGAGATGGACACCAGCGTGCCCAAGATTTTCATCTGGCTCTTTGTGCTTCTAATATCTAACTTCTCCATCCTTGAATGATTTTAACACAGGTCAAATACCCCGTATATCTTGCAGTTCAAGAATCTAGATTATGAAATTTCATTTTAGCTTTGATGCTGCTTGTGACAACATAGATTTCATCAAATCCAATGCCTGCAAACTCTATAGATAATAAGATAAAAATCAGAGTTACCTGAAGATGACAGCGAGCACAAAAGTGAACGCTGGAACCAAGTTGCTCATAGCAGATCCAAGAGTGGGCGAGCTGTAGCTTATACCAGTGAAAACACAATTCTGCATCACAGTTATCCTATATATATATATATATATATATATATATATATATATATAAAAAGAGCCCAGAAGTCAAAATTCAATTCTATATACCGTTTTCCAAGATAAGAACTACGAAAAAAAAGAAATCCAACAAAATAGCTGCAATTAGTTACATACCCAACAAGACTGAGGAGGAAGAATTTGCAAAGAAGCGAGAGAGAAAGTGGAGGCCTATTTTTTCTGCAATTAAGTGAAGAAGAGATGGCAGTGATGGGGAGTTGTGATTAGGAATTCAGAGAAAGAACGAAAGGGGAAAGAAGGATGAACCTGCTGAAGATGAAAGAAGAAGGGAGGAGTATGGCAGAGGCAAGAGCGTTTGAGTAGACGACGAAGACGAAGTGGCTCATTCCTCTGGACATGGCTGCTTTACTTAATGTGGTCATTCCCACATCCAAGCACTCCACCATCACCATGGCTACAAATGGAATCGATTCCAACAACAAGTGCTTGAACCCCATTTGAGCTCTGGCAAAGTGAATCTCCTGCCGCTGAGGAACACTGTCACCAATCTTCCGCCGAGGAGCTCAGTTTCTTACCGTCTCCTATCGGACCTGTGAATCTCATGGCTTGGACGAGTGAGACTTTTTGATATAATTTGCGAATTATACGTTTTTTTTTTTAATATACATGTAAGTCTCATGTGATATGGGGAATTATTGCATCATGTTTTGTTTTAAACGCTTTAGAAAAACTTCGATTTTTAGTTTTTTATTTTTGTGTACAATTAATTTATACTAATAAAAAGTGAAGGTTGAAATAAAAAAAAACAAAGCTAGTTATTAAGTGTGTATGTTGCATCAGCTCAAAAAAAAAAAAATGGTGTGTATGTTGCAACTTGCACCTAACTACCCATGTGATATATCCAGCTCCACCTACTGGCATCGGCCACTTGATAAATCTCTCTAAGGGTGTGTTTGGGTGACACCCTAAACCATGGTTTGGGGTGTCAATCACCCAAATACCCCCTCTAAAAATCAAAACCATGGTTTTGGCTCCAAAACCATGGTTTTGGAAAAAGCAAAATTTTTTTGCTTTTGGAGAAAAAAGGGAGAGTGTGAGAGTCTATATGATATGTATTTTGTTATTTTTTTTATAAACATATTTTTTGATAAACATATTTAATCTTATATTTTATAAATATATATACACATTAATTATTTATTAATTATATTATCTTATGTATTATTAATTATGTTGGTAAAAAATATATTATTAACAATTTTATTCCTTCAAATTAAAATATATCATAAAATCTATTTTTTCTGTAATTATCATATTAACTTATGTCTTCTTTTTAGTAATTTGTATATAAAAAGTGTTTCTGATAACAACTATCCAAACACTCTCACTTCTCAGAATCACTTTTTTACAAAATATATTCTTCACAGAATCTATTCTCCCCAAAATCTATTCTCCAGAATCACTTTTTCAAACCACGGTTTGGTTTCATCCAAACACACCCTAAGAAGATCCCTGTTTGGATGCCACTCATTTCTTTCCTCATCTTCTTCTTTTAATTTTTTCCTTCATCAATGATTTTTTTTTGTAAATTACACCAAATACTTTTTTATTTTATTTCAATTATAGAAATTTCTGTTCTATTTTAAAAATGTATATAAACCTAATTTAAAATTAAAATATAAGTTACACAAATATTTTTTTCTTGTATTTAAAATTCTATTTTTATCTAGTCAAATCGTTAGTTAACCGCTAAATTTGAGTTTAAATTATTTTTTATGTCCTTTTTAATTTAATAATTATTTAGACATTTATATTTTCTAAAAATATTTTTTATAACATTTAAAAAATAATCATGATACATATATTTTTAAAATTTTTAATATGTTATAAAATTTATTGATTTTGATTTAAGTCATCAAATTTTATAATTTTAATTTTGTTGCATTCATTGAAAATTATTTACTTTGATTTTTTTAAATTATAAAAACATATTTCAAATACATAAGTTTTATTTATTGTAAAGTTTAAATGATATAAGTTTAAAATTTTTTATAAATTATTTTAAGTTTATAATTCAAACTTTTAAACACACCTTTCTTATAAAAATTTATAAACATATTCAATCAAATGCATATATATATTAAAAAAATTAATTAGATTTTTAATTAAGTTTTTATATTTGTCTTAACTACATAAAATTCATGTAATTGAAAAAATATAATTTAGAAATTTATTATAATAAAAGGTAAAATAATAAATAAAATTTATTATAATATAAATTTAAGCTAAAAATAATATTTTTAGAATCTTTTTAAAATATTTCTATTGGTGTTAATTAGTTGGATTAAATTGTATGTTTTTAAATTACACAACGTGACAAACTAATGTTCGAATCTCTGTTGGGAGAGACACCTATATCTAATATCTGATAGTACCTCTAATAGGATTGCCTCCAATACTTTAGCCAAAAAAGAAGAAGAGAAAATCTGTATAATTGATGTAAACTAGAAAAGTAGTTTGAATATTTTACTCTAAACTGTAATAACGTGATAAAAAGTTTTAGAAAATCAGGTGAAAATAGTTACAGATTAATTTCTTGATTACTCTTTAGATGTACTCCTTCTGTCCTTTTTTATAAATAATAACTATCATTCTTCTCTTTTTTTCTAAATATAAGCTAAAAAAATTTTGTAGTAAATTTTTTATTTTATCCTCATAATTACTTATATTAATTCAATATATTTATTATTCAATTTTCTAAGCCATCATATCTATTCATTACACATTTTCTTTCTTTTTATTATACTAATTTTTTTATTCTCTTTCTATTAGAGATAAGGATATTTTGGATAATTTTTTTTAATTTTTATTTACGTGAGTTAAAGAGGAGGGACTAGTAAAACGCGGAGTTTAATTCTTGGAATTGGTGTCATCGGAAAGAGCATTAATTATTAATTAAATGGAAAACTGATCAAAAAGAAAATTAATTACATGGAAAAGCACGAGACTTGCATGCCACGTTTCCGTAACACTTTAAGAACACGTGCACTGGGCCACGTCGATATTCTGTCCCCTGCAGCGAAGTGCTATATCAATATCACCCCGAGTCCCCTATATATGTGTTCCTCCTCAACTTTTAATCCCTTCCTGCTGCTTCTTTTTTTAAAGCCACTCCCTCTATCTATCTCACTTTTGTAATTTCTTCCAATCACACTTTCATTTCATCACAAACTCAATCGTCAAACGCCACCGGAAATTCCTCATTTTTCCTTCCCCAGAAATTTTGGCCTCTGCTGTAAGATTCAATCGATTTTTCCTCTTTTTATTTTCTGTTCTTTTTCTCTTTGCATTTAAAGCATAGTTGTCCGATTGCTTCCCCTTTCTAGTTAACTGGGTTGACCGCAGATCTTTACATCGGATTCTATGTTCGTTCATTTTCTCAACACGGGGTAATGCATTCTGTATTGGGAATGCTAGTAATTGATCAACACGCCGATGCCTTTTTCCTTCATCCGATTCCCCCCCCCTTTTATCCCTCTCGCTTGCTGGGAAATTGATCAAAGTAAAACATGAATATCCGGGTTTTCTTCTGTGCTGGGAATCGTGGAGGTCGTCTGGAGATAATTTCGACATTTTAATATTTATACTTTGAGCTTGAATCTGTATTGACTTGCCGCATTGAGGATCACGCACTATGTATAGCTATTTCCTGGTCATTTTTGGTGGCTCATGAAGCTCTTGCATTGTTCAATGTTGTTTTGAAGAGCAAAGGCAGTATAAATCATTCTCCCTGGGGCCTATTATCATTGTCTTTCACTGCTATGAAGAATCAACAAGTGTTTGTTATCTCAAATTTTAATAATAATATCATGTTTGTATTACCATAATACAATGTTCAGTAGTCGAGTTTCTAATGAATTCCCTGCTTCCTATTATATGATGTGATATCTGTCATTTTATAGGAATTGTGAAGTGGACATAAAGACCTAAATGGTTTCTATTGTGGTCACTGGCTTTAGGACGACACAGGAGTCATTTTTATTTCTTGAATATAGTTTGAGAAGCTTCTAGGCATTATATGTTTTGTTCGTTCTATAATGTAGCGCCCATCTTTCTTTTTTTTTCACTTTAAAGGTTTTGAATGTGATGATAGTTATTTGTTGCGCTGAGCTTGGTGCGGATGGTTTGCCAAATGCATTCTCTATTTGTTGAATTATGGCTGTGTGGAAATATTTGGTATGTTTGTTTGAGACTTTGAGTTGTCTTCTGAAAGAATGGAAATCATTGGTTTGATTTATTCAAGGTCCTGTTCTGTAAATTATCTCAGGTTCAACTTCTGTAAATTAAGTCTTCTCTGTTTCTTAATGATATGACGGTGCCAGCTTGTTTATACGGTTATACATAAATCAATCAATCTATAGGCCCAACTAAACCATCATATTTGACTGTGACAATGTTTATTTGCTATTCATATTTTACTTCATTTTTGCTAGTGTGGATTCTTTTCATGGTCCAATACGGACAGCTCTGTTGATTTTCCTTATTGGCATCACAAATTCTTTGGTTTATTGATCTTAGGATTTTCTGCTTGTTGATCTCATACACCAGCACCTTGTGAATATTTTGGGCCACTGAGTGCATTATTCTGATATATATTGAATCATATCAACAAGTTCACCTATCCCTTTTTAATTTTATGGATGTATATTGGGCTTATCGACTGCACATTGGATGTTCTTGCAACGGGAAAGTTTTGGGGCTATTTCATATATGTTCATTTTTGCTAGTAACTTCAATGTCCTTGTAGCAGGTTGAAAAGGGCTATTTGATCAAATCAGAATGTCATCTCCAAGTAAGAGAAGGGAAATGGATGTAATGAAACTGTAAGCAGGCTGTTTGATTATCAATTGATTGTTATATACTTCTAATTTAATTAAATCTTGATTCTTTTCTTCATAGTTGATCGTAATTTTTATATTACCAAATCTAATTAATAATTGAGTGAATGCACCTTGGCATGATATTCAGGCATTGCTAGAATAATAATTGAGTGAACTTGATTTGTTCTCCATCCTGCAATGGTCTACATTCTGCGATATATTTCTCGACTTGTGCCAAACTGCATTCTGCATTTCAAGCTGCTAGCCATTACCACAATAGACAAGTTGGGACTGTGAGACGTAAGTTCGAATGAATGTTGAAATAAGAGATAAGGAGAAAATTTTGGATAGGGAAGGAGATCATGGGTATTTTGAAGTTTCTTTCTTGCCTCCCCCCCCCCTCTAATTGCAGCATCTAGCAGAAAGATGAATGAGATAGTTTTACTTATAATGCAGTTTAAAAAGGATGAGGCTTATCTATTTAGGCCAAAAATTGAGGGACAAAGGTCGGATCTTTTGAGGGACTCTGCTAAGAGAATCCGCATTAGAATGCCATTACTGTTATTGGGCAGAAAAGCATATGCAATTACTCAGACACGTGGTTTAAATTTTGTGCTGTTCTATCTATCAGGGGAATTGAGGTTCATGTGCTTCGTATAAACTATAAAGATTCCATGTTACCCACTTTGTTTGTATTTGTACACACTTGAATATGCAAATATTTGCATTTGATTGAGACCTTGAAAATCTTCCTGGTCATGCTTTTTAAATATTTATTCCTTTTTTCCAGGATGATGAGTGACTATACTGTGGAGACAATAAATGATGGGCTTAATGAATTCAACGTGGAGTTCCATGGTCCAAAAGAAAGTACTATTTCTGAAACTACTTTGTCTTACATTTGATGATGCTACGCATAAACCTGAAATTTGCCTGATGATCAAATGCTTGTCAGATGCGGATATACCTCTTGTTTTTAGAGGACAGAACCCCCCGGGGGGGGGGGGACCTAACCCATCTATTGGCACTTGTGCTTACATAATATTTGAATGATTTGTCTTACCTTTAAATATGTCGATTAACTGATCACTAAAGGGTTTTGCTGTTTTGCATGTTCATAGACCATTAGAGAAGTCTTTCTGCTTTTTCTGTGATGTATAATATGCGTGACAAATCTGATTGTTGTAGGTCTTTATGAGGGGGGAGTCTGGAAAATTCGTGTTGAACTTCCTGATGCTTATCCATACAAATCACCTTCCATTGGATTTGTGAACAAGATATTCCACCCAAATGTTGATGAGCTGTGAGCATTCTGTTAAGCAATCTCTAGCTGTATTTTTCACTGTATTTTCAATGTAACCTTTGTGGAGGATGGGAATGAAATTCTATTGAAGTAATAGCAGCAAATTGCTGATTTAAATGTTTAAGCTTTTGTTCACATGGGCTAATGCTTACTCTCCTTTGAAAATTTTGGTAACTGCAGATCTGGCTCTGTATGCCTGGATGTTATTAACCAATCATGGAGTCCAATGTTTGGTAATTATCAATCCTAGGCTGTTGTTGCTTAAAGTTATGAGAATCAGACATAGTTACTATCTATTGATATCGATACACTTGACTGGTGACTTATTGCAAAGTTAATCTGATTCACTTTTACTATTTATTTCTAGTAGATGACCCTGGTTTTTTCCCCCCAGATCTTTTGAATGTCTTTGAAGTGTTTCTTCCGCAACTGCTGCTCTATCCGAATCCTTCAGATCCTCTCAATGGTGATGCAGCATCATTAATGATGAAGGATCGAAAGTTGTATGATCAAAAAGTTAAGGGTAAGCATATGGTTTTTAAGGGACACTTCTCTTATACAAAGAAGAAATAGAAAAAGAAAACTAGGAGCCTCGAGCTATCTTCAAGTATAGAAACTCCAAAAAGAGTCTATTGAATTCCTCAATTAATACCTGACTGGCTGTTTCTTAGGCAGCACCCGTCTGGATTTGGGTCCTTTACCGACTTGACTTGCAATTTGTCTTGTAGCGAGAAACTGACGCCTAAGACTGTCTTATGAATTTGTATATTTCTCTCTTCAAGCACTTTGGAAGTTGCATAAAGCAACACTCCTGTCCAACATGACTGGAGAAGAGGCTAATTTTCTTTTCTTTTGTTTTTTTTTTTTTGGTGCAGAAGAAGAGGGCTAATTTTCTTATTTTTATAGAATGAATCCTTGAGACTGCTTCATATATATGTTAATAATATTGGGTGAAAGATATTGTAATTGTGATTTGAGTGGATGAAGCGATTTTGCTAATGATAAAAGATAATAAAGTGTATTTTTGGGGGCAGAGTATTGTGAGCGGTATGCGAAGAAGGAAAACATTACAAACTCTGCAGCTGATGAGGAGAGTGGAGATGAGGATGAGATCAGTGAAGAGGAAAGTGAATCAAGTGAAGATGATATTCCGAGCCATGCTGATCCCTGAGAAGACTGTAGTAATGGTCATAGTTATAAACCTCTTAAAAACATCCATGTAGTGCCAATGATAGCCTTATTGCCTGCTTAATTATAAAATGTAGGATTATATATAATTTGCCGCCTGTAAAACCACACTTCCTGATTCCTGTACTCAATTAAGTAGGGTATATTTCAGCTAAAGGAAGACAAGCAATCTGTAATTTACATGTAACTCAGTCTTGTTTCTTCTCTTGTTCTGCTGTTTGGTGTCTGCTAAAACTTGTTCAGCCCTTCCTTTCTTGCATTTTATACATGACGGGATTGTTGTAATGCTGCCTCCAAGTGAAGACAGCGAAGAACACGTGCAAAAGAACGGGTGCGAGTTCACCACGAAGACAATGAAAATAATTATCTGAGACTGTACAAAATATATAATTCACGTCAATCCCTGTTGCTGAAACGAGAAACTGAACATTTCACACGTTTTGTTCTACATGAACCATATTTAAAGGGTATTTAGATAGAATCACAATCATAATTTAGAAGTATTTTTACGGTATATTACGTAAATACATGGAGGAGTTTATTTTAATTTGTAAAAAGTGCTTCTAAAAAGCATTTTTTATGGTATCCAAACACCGTCTTAGTTACAGAATATTAGCTGTAATTTTATTTATTTATTTTTTTTAGAAAGCCAGACTTGGCAAAAATTCCATTGCCTCCTGCTTGCGACTAAAATGCAATATCTAGTGTTCAAGAAATACTACTATTTGGTTTCTTGATGCCGTACCAGAGTGGTGAGCCCGAAGTAAATGCAATTTCTTGATATAGAATGTTTTTGGAAACAACGTATTACTCATAATTGAGGCAAACTTTATCATTATCATTATTCGTTTAGTATTAAATTTGTTGCAAGTTGCACCTGTTGGCTTTTTAAGGGTCTCAGAGTTGATCGTATTTCGCAAATCGGTGAACCTCCTCTCCGCCCAGTAATGGCGTTACAAGTGACATATACTCATTTTACTATACTGGAAAAAAATCTCCATATTTCCTCCGTTGTCTATTGAGTTTACTGTCGTGTTGTTCTGCATTGGTTGGAGTTTAGGTTGGCTTGTATATTGTACAATATGTTAGTATTTTATAATTTTTCAATTAAAAGAAGAAAAACATGACGTGAGTCATGGCTATTATGAACGACTAGGGGCCAAACAATCACTTTACGAATGAGAATTTTTAAAAGTAGAACTATATGAAGTGACCCTCTGACTATTTCAAAATAAGGCCGGCACCAAAAGTTTTCATGCAAATTCTTGCCTTTTGGCGCACTGCTAGAGAATCCTTCGTTGTCATTTAAAAAAAAAAGAAAAGAAAAAGGAGACACAAGATTACAAGACGTTTGTTGTTATACCAGCCGTTTGGCAATGCAGTGCATTATCTTAAGCTTCAAAACCGATACTGATCTTACAGCCCTTGTCTTGTTTCACAACTTAAATCATCCGAAGTAAAGAAAGAAACTTTTCTCAGTGTAGAGCCAAATGGGTCGAAATCCAAATCCTATGTGGGTACTCTTCATGGTGGTGTTTTCGTTTGTTCTACCAATGGCTTATACAGAGGATGAAGAAGTGAAGCAGGCAATGCTGAGATTCATGGAGAAACTTGAACCAAAGAATACACCAAGAGATGTGAACTGGGGTTGGAACTTATCGTCAGATCCTTGCATTGACGAATGGTATGGGGTTCAATGTTATTCCGGAGCGAAGTTTGTGAGGAATATAGTTCTTGAGGATTCTGGTTTCACGGGGACTTTAGACGCTGCTTCTCTCTGCACATTACAGCTTCTTCAAGGCCTTAGCTTGAAGAACAACAACTTACACGGCGTCATACCAGAAGAAATAGGAATGTGCAAAACATTGAGTCTTTTGTATTTAAGTGGCAACAACTTCTCCGGCGACCTTCCTCTTTCTATTTCACTCTTAGGTAATCTGAAAAGGATCGATGTTTCAGATAACAACTTCTCCGGAGAGCTTCCTGATATGAGTCATATTACCGGCTTACTATCTTTTCAAGCCCAGAATAACGAATTCACAGGGGAAATTCCCAACTTCGTTTTCTCCAACCTGCAGGAGTTCAATGTCTCCAACAACAATTTACAGGGTCCAATTTCCGACGTGATAAGCTTGTTTGGGCAGACAGTTTATCTGGTAATCCCAACTTATGTGGACCTCCACTTGCAAACGCATGTCCTCCTCTTCCTCCTCCTGCAACAAATAAGAAGAAAAACAGAAAATCTTTCAATCGCAGCGTGGCCATTTATTCTGGGTACGTGATTCTTGGTGTGGTTGTCCTGCTTTACTTGGCATTCAAGATTGTTAAGTGTTACAGAGCCAAAAAGGAGCCATTGAATGCTGAGGAGAAGGAAGTAACAGAGGAAGCTAGCAAGGAAAAGACACGAGAGACTCCCAGTGAAGTGAATGGGATTGTAACGAGATCAGAATATTCATTGTCATCTATTGAAACAGGGGTGGTCTCATCAAATCTGGTTGTTCTTTTGAGTCCAGTGGTGAGGACACTGAAATTTGAGGACTTGCTAAGAGCTCCTGCAGAATTGGTAGGCAGAGGCAAGCATGGAAGCCTGTACAAAGTGATGCTGGACAGTGGGGTGGTTTTAGCAGCGAAGAGAATCAACGATTTAGGAATTTCAAAACAGGATTTTGAAAGGAGGATGCACAAGCTAAACCAAGTGAAGCATCCCTGTGTACTGCCTCTTCTTGCATTTTATTGCTCCCTGCAAGAAAAACTTTTGGTGTACGAGTTTCTGCATAATGGCAGCCTCTTCAAGATGCTACGTGGTAAGTTATTTCTTAAACTATATGTCCCCGAATTGACTTCGTTCACATCATGATCATTAATTTTCATTAGGCTTGCATCTAAGCCTCTTGCATGTTTTAGGATCTTAGTTAATTGAAGATGCTTAGACACATTGCATTAATGAATGTCAGGATCTCAAAGTGGCAAAACTTTTGACTGGGGAAGCAGACTGAACGTTGCAGCCAACATAGCCGAAGCCTTAGCCTACATGCACGAGGAGCTTCGTGAAAGTGGGATAGCTCACGGCAACTTGAAATCCAGCAACATATTGTTCGACAAGAACATGGATCCATGCTTAAGCGAATATGGATTAATGGTGGTTGAAAATCAAGATAAATCTGTCTTTTATGGGGACAAAAGCAGCATGAAGAACAAAAACAGCAGAAATCCCAGTGGTGGTGCTGGAGCTGAAGCTTATAGCACCTTTAAGGTGGACACATATGCGTTTGGAGTTGTTCTTCTTGAACTTTTGACAGGAAAAGTGGTTCAGAATAATAATAATAATGGGTTTGATCTGGTTCGATGGGTTAACTCAGTGGTGAGAGAGGAATGGACAGTGGAAGTATTTGACAAGTGTTTGGTGACAGAAGAAGCTAATGAAGAGAGGATGGTGAATTTGTTGCAGATAGCATTGAAATGCGTGAGTGCTTATCCGAATGAGAGACCAAGTATGAGTGAAGTTGCAGTAATGACGATTTCTTTGAAAGAGGAACAAGACAGATCCATAACCTTTAATCCCTAACCCTTTGAGCATTATTAAATATGTAATGTAGGGCATTTCGTTCATTCATAAGCTTTTGTTTTACAGCATGTCTGATCATAAATGACTTCTTCCACGGATTCCATATATATTGTAATTCAAACTTGTCAACATGTAAAACATACTAAATTCTAAATAACTTATAGGGTTTTGATCAATTCAATTTATAATTGAAGAGAATTTGAACTCATGAGAAAGAAAGATGATGGATTGAGATTCTAAAGTCCAACAGATAATCCATAGCCGATTACTCTCTAACCTTTTCCAAAGCCGCGACAAAGCAACCAAAGCGAAGCAAAATAACTAGCAAACATTCAAGACCATTACCATTTTCGACCCTATTATGGTGCTTCAAAACAACCCTGCATTTCAAGCATCTCCTTCCAATCGAACTTCGCTTCTTCTAGAAGGGATATTTTCTCTCATCAGCTTCTTTGATTCAGACCCAGAAGCAGCAAGGGCTTGTAGCAGCCTCATCACTTCAGTAGGATCATTTAAGAAGTACATGGCTTTGCTTGATTTTACTTCAACTGTGCATGTAAAGATGTCTGCTTCTGGAGATAGCACTCCATGATGAGCTTGGCTTGATAAGCTTGCAAACATATCCTCATCTGATCCATCGTCTCCAATGCACAGCACGAAATCCACTGACATCCCATTCATCTTTAGATTAGAAAGAACTTTTTCTATGACTAAGCCTTTAGTAATTCCCTGTGATGATAATTAGCCAACGTTAGAACCTCACATGAGAATCATAGGTTAAGAGATAAAGATCGAACTTTATGGAGTTACACCTGTGGCTTGACTTCAACAATATCACGTCCCTTTTGAACAACTGCTGGCTCATTTGCAAGAACACCTTCAAGGTGATCCAACAGCTCCTTGGCTTCAAAATTTCCATAATCAGAGCCAAAAGAATCATCTTCATGATAATGCCATACCAAGCCGCTCTCCTTGCTCTCCATATAGGAGCTGCCGGTTAATTCAGAATATGATCTCATTTCAGGTTCAACAACGCTTTTCCAAGAAAAATCAGCGACTAAATCACTGGTTTCCCAGCTTGAATTTTTATCCCATCTGAGTTAAAAGATCATACACAACCTGAAAAGTTTAGAGAACTAGCAAGAAAGAAAAGAAACTCCAAAACTAAATTATATAAACACTCACCTTATAAAATAACCATGCTCAGCTGCTATACCAAGATTCTCACATGAATCGAACCAATCACTTAGTTGGGTCTTACCCCTGCCACTTACTATAAACACGGTGTTCAGCGGGTCATTGCAGAGGTCATTGATAACAGATATGAGTTCAGGACTAGGGCTTTGCACAATGGAAGTTTGGGGAACAATTGTACCATCATAGTCCAAAAATATTGCCCTACCCTTAGTCTCTTCATATGCAGAGACAACATGCTCGATGGATAGCTTCCTGAAATTCAGAGGAAAGGACGTGACTCTGAAACCAAAACTTAATCCAAGGCCCAAGCAATGGTTAGCATGGTGATGCATGCATGAACGCTCAAGATCTTGCATAAAATTTCTAGCCCAGTAAGCCACATCATGAGAGCTAACATGCCTGAAGTGTATCTCATGCCTCAAGTGTTTTTGTGTAATGGGCATGTCGATGGCTGAACTTAGTGCTTCAGACACAGCATCTATGTCCCAAGGGTTCACCCTAAAAGCCCCACTAAGAGATGGTGAGCAGCCTATGAACTCAGAAATGACAAGTGCACTTGTATGAAGCGACTCAGAATCGATTTCTAATACTTCATCCATCTCTGGGGTCCCCTGCCTATAGGCAATATACATGTAAGGAACCAAATTCATACCATCCCTTACTGCATTCACAAAGCAACATTCTGCCAAAGCATAATAAGCGGCCTTCTCATAAAAAGGAGTAGGATGGTCAATGATAATGACAGGTTTGTAACCTGCAAAACCAAACCTTTCATTTATCCTTTCAGCAACAAGGTATGTCTCTTTCTTTGCTTCCTCAATATCTCTGCCAGTTCTCCTTGGGGGGTTCACAATTTGGACAACAACTAATTCACCTTGCAAAGATGGCCTCTTCTGTAGGAGTTGTTCTATGGCCAAGAGCTTTAGACCAATGCCTTTGAATATGTCCATATCATCAACACCAAGAATGAGTGTTTTCCCCTTAAATTGCTCACGGATTTCTCTGACTTTGGTGGACGAAGATGGGTGATTCAAGGAAGAATGAAGTCGGCCCATATGAATCCCTGCAGGCAAAACTTTAATGTTCACCTTTCGGCCAGAGTATTCAATCTCAATGTAACCCCTTTTGTATTCATATTCCAAGCCGAGCATCTGACTGCAGCAAGACAAAAAGTGGCGAGCATATTCGTATGTTTGAAAGCCTATTAAATCTGAATTAAGCAGAGCTTTCAAAATATGCACTCCAATAGGCTGAGTCATATAAATTTCCAAAGGAGGAAAAGGACTGTGGAGGAAAAATCCTAGTTTGAAACGATAGTACCGCCTGCGCAGAAGCATTGGCAGGGCCATAAGATGATAATCATGAATCCAGACATAATCTTTTCCTGGATTATTAATAACTTCTATGACCTTATCTGTGAATTTTACATTAACAGCAACATAAGCCCTCCAAAGTAACGCATCAAAGTGACTGCCGTAAGCCGGATTCATAGGCATCATGTAATGGAATAGAGGCCATAAATACTGCTTGCAGAATCCATTATAATACATTTTGCGGATATCTGAAGGAATAAATATAGGCAAGCACTTGAATTCCTCCAGCAACTCAAGAGAAACCTGCTCTTGTTTGCTTTCTTCAACATCAATAGTTAGAGATCCAACATAAAAAACATCAGTATCATGAGAGATACTATCCTTTAGTTGCAATAAAATAGAATCTTCATCGAAACCAAAGCACCACCGGCCAGAATTATCCTGCTGGGCATTTAGGGGAAGAAAATTTGCTACTATGATTATCCTTTGCTTGTCTTCTGATGAGGAATCATATGGATCATGATCATCATTAGACATAATCCCTGGATCATTCATAGCTCCCGGTAGAGCTCTAGAAGATTGAGGGGAACTTGAATTGACTCCTCTGATGAAGTCAAATAGATTAATGTATGCTTTGAGCACCATCTATACTGAATTTCCCAGTAATTGAGATTTAAGGGCGCAGTATTTGTAGACCAACAAATGAGGATCTTTGAAAAATTGACTCAAAGGACAGAGAGAACCTGTAAAAGAGGCAAGAGATAGCATTATAACTATGGCATTCAGGATAAGATAAAGCAGGATAACAACACAAGCACATAAATCAAGCAAATTGCGCGAGTTTAACTAATATATATTAAAAGTTCAGACTTAGTCAGAGATTCATTTATAGGCTATGGCTTTTAGAAAATCATGTCTAACCAAATTGACTGCTTGCTGAGACAGGAAAAAAAGGAAATGCCTTTCTTATGGTAAGAAAATCATTTGAGTATTATTTTTTACTATGTTTAGCCCCAGTGTTGATTGTGCAAATAAAATACAAACAAACATCAATATCACTCAACATGGCAAAGAATATCTCATGAATGAGAGCAGAATAATGGCACATATGTATATTCTACTGCCTTGCTAAGCAACAACACAGCAAGCCGGGGTTTTTTTTTTGGGGGGGGGGGAGCACTTCTAAATTGCATAGAAGAAAGATGTAACATCAACTTAGTTCCTCTAATAAATAGAAGAATCAAACAGACGCAGATAACACTTTGTACAAACTTATACCACTAATGAGCTAAAAAGGGGGAAATCATCGGTAAACTCTCGATGAAAATATGATCATAGGTAATTTGATTTCAAACCCCGCTTAACTTTCTCAGATCTCTAAATAATCAAAATAAAACAAATCAAATTTACTTCCTCAGCAGAAAGGAGCAAATTTTCAGAGATCCAACAAAGGTATGGCCAGTCGACTTATGCCTGATATTGTGTTCATCCAAGTCAGTACAGGCAGAAACACAATTGCAAAGTAGAAACAAGCTAGTGAGATCAAGAGGCAAGTAAGAAAACAAGCTTGAGCACCTAGATTTAACCCAAATCATACAGCTAATCTCAATATAACTTATTCCCATTGCTAGCGTTTCACGCGATATCTAGCTGGCTCGTCATATGAAGCTTGTGAACTGGCAAGCGTTACACTCGAGAACAGCTAAGTAAAACTGCAGAACATCAGGCCTGTACTAACCCAAAAATTGCAGCTTCACATTCCTCATATGCCATTAGAATTATTAATTTCTTTTTGATCAGTTTAGAAACTAAATAAATGAGATTCACCTGTTTACCAGTTCCTTCTTGTATTTTACTAAACACTAAACATAAATTATGAAATAAACCATCGCAATATATCAGAACATGAAAGGATGTCCACATAAGGTCATGAATAACATGACAAACCAGCAACAATTTCAACACTTAGGATAACTTGTGGACAAAAAAGGTTGTTCAAATTTGTCTCTCTACAGACCATAGGAGGAAACTAGTGGGAGTGCTAACGTGATACTTGTCTGTGGCAGCTCATCAAAAGTGCTTAGGAAGTTTGTTTGGTTCTGCAGATAAACGTTTCACTTACGCATTACATTTCTTACATAGTTTCAGTTTCCTTATTTTAAATTTTTAAAAGAGGCCATTCATAATTTTGCCCGTTCATGCCTTCCAGCTTAGCATAACACAGACAACGGCTAGCTTCATCTCTAAGTAGCATTATTTTATTCAGGTACAATCCAGGTTTCCTTTTTCCATGAGTAGGATAAATGTTTTGGCTCCCCAAACAAATAGCTCGAAATGCGAATATTTGCAAAACCCGCTAGACCCGAAGAGCTACACAAACAGAGAAGAGCGCCCATTTACCTTAAAAGAATGAAACTTCTGTAACTACAAAGAATTCCAGTGACTGAACGGGAATTTCACACTGAAGAAACAGTAAAGGAATAGAACAGATTCAGATATGAAAAACCCATTTCCCTCTGATCACTACGAATGGAAAGAACACTACAGTATCTGGGAGAAGCTAATTCAAAGCAAATTAACCGTCAATGAAATCTCAAAAGTGGTAGTTTTTACCTTGTTCACTTTCTCAGCAACCAAACAGACCCATGAAGGAGAACAAGCAAAAAAAAAAATGAGGGAAAAAATGGAGGTGTACAAGTGAAATCAAGAGCTGGTATAAACAGGAACGGGCAAAAAACAAAAAATCAGCAAAAGAAGGCATAGATAGATATCTCGGGTATGTGTGTATGTTCGGTTGGTACCGGTGATTTGTGAGAATTTAACAGTTTAGGTGTTCACTAGATAGATATCTCGGGTATGTGTGCATGTTCGGTTGGCACCGGTGATTTGTGAGAATTTAACAGTTTAGGTGTTCATATACTTTTTTGTTTAAAATTCGTGTTCATTGAATCAGCAGCTTATGCCGCGACCCTGAGAGACAAGAATAGACGGAGAAGGTGAAAGAGACAGAGAGAGAATGAGAGATGTGGATATTTTGTAATAATCGCGAAATGGATATAGTCATCAAGGAAAAACCAACAAAGACAGTTGGATTGCAACTCTAGTTTAGTCTTACGTCGGATTTGGATTTTTTTTTTTTATTTCATATTTTTTTATTTTTAAATTATTTTGAATTTGAGATTAATTTTATCAGACCAAAAACATTAAAGTTAACAGCTTTTTAACAAGTTCAAACTTGTATTTTACTCCATTCTCAAACACTTCTTTTTGCTACAAAAAATATATGTATACTTTATAGGTCAATTTTTAATTTGTTATCTAAATTTTTTCTCAATTAAATTGTTTAATTTTACTTTATTAGCACAGCTAGCTCTTAAAATATTGACAGAGCAAAATTTACAGATTTAATTAAAAAAGAAATATTTATAGGTGTCAAATTAAAAATTAATAAAAAGTATAACTGTAAAACGGCTTTGAACAGTTTCTTTTTTAATTATTATTAAAAGTAATATAAAAAGAGAAGTTTATTTTGGCGCGCTTTTGTTTGGTTCAACGAGCTGGCGTCTTCTTCCTCGCTTCCCGCACCTATCTCCCTGTGAGCGAATGATTTTCCGTCAAACCCATTAATTTCTCAGGCTCACTGGCCGTCACCGCGCAACAAGAAGAAGAAGGTGAAGATGAACAGATACGCAGCTTCTTCTTCGTCTCGATTATTACGAAGCCATTTCTCCAAGTCTTTCTCCCTCAGAAAGAAGGTTCCCTGGTGGTACCAAATCCTCGATCCCAAATCCGAATTCGTCGACCGATGGAATCGCACCTTCCTCTACGCCAGCTTCCTTGCCCTCTTCCTCGACCCCCTCTATTTCTATTTCCCCATCATCGGCAAAGAGAGTTGCATGAAAATCGACTTGGTCCTCGGCGTCTTCATCACTTTCTTCCGCACCCTCAACGATATCTTCTTCGTCTTCCACATTGTTCTCAAATTCCGTACGGCCTACTTTTCTTCCCACTCTTTTGGCCGCGGTGATCTCATCACTGACCCCTACCTCATCGCCATTCGCTATCTCAAGACCGATTTCTGCTTTGATTTTCTCGCATGCCTTCCTCTCCCTCAGGTAACCCGTTCATCATTCCATTTTACAATCTCCTTAAATATATAAATGAAAGGATTAGTGGTTGCTATGTAATGCAGATCGTGATTTGGTTCTTGATTCCCGCATTCAAAGATACGACAGCAGCTCATGCGAATCATACCCTTTCTCTCATGGTTCTTCTCCAGTATATTCCTCGATTCTTCCAGATCTTCCCTCTTCAACGCCGGATCATAAAAACCAGCGGCCTTATAGCCAAGACGGCTTTGGCAGGGTCTTTATACAATCTTGGTTTTTACGTGTTGGCGAGCCATGTGAGTATGTGCATTTTTCTCCCTTGGGTATGATAGTTAGTGAAATCAGCAAGAGAAAGTTGTTAGAATTAGAAACAAGGCAATGTGAACGTACATGAGTGCAGGTTTTAGGGGCTGCATATTATTTGTTAGCGATTCAGCGCCAGTCTCAATGCTGGAGAGAAATTTGTGCGAAGGAAGCCAACGCAACGCACTCTCCATCTTGCTCGCCTCAATTTCTTGATTGCGACTCACTGAACGATCCCGCACGTGATGCTTGGTACCAACAAACTTACCTTACTGTCGTCTGTGATGCTAAGAATGAAGGCAGCCATTTTGAGTTTGGAATTTACGCCGACGCTTTTACTGATGAAGTTGCTACATCTAGGTTCATCGAAAGATACTTTTATTGCCTCTGGTGGGGCTTGAAGAGTCTATGGTATGCCGTCCCTCATTCGTCGCATCAACCTATTCCGCCTACATTTATATACATACACACGCATATATGATTTTAAGTCTTATCGGATTCTGCGTTATCCAATATCTATTGAAACCTTTGATTATGTGCAGTGCATATGGACAAAATCTTAATACAAGCGTCTTCGTTTCTGAATCTTTATTTGCGAGTTTCATCTGCATTGCAGGTCTAATTCTCTTTGCACTTCTCATTGGTAACATGCAGGTATCCCCATAGGGCCAGTAGTATCTGCTTATATTAATGAATATTATTAAATTCTCCTTGTAATGCTTTAACCGTGTTCATTCATCAATTCTTTCTCTCTTTTTCTTTTTTTGCCCCCCTCGTAAAGAACTATTGGCAATCTACTACTGCAAGACTTGAAGAATGGAGAATTAAACAAAGAGATACGGAAGAGTGGATGAGGCATCGTCAACTTCCGCCAGAACTGCAAGAACGTGTACGTCGGTTTGTCCAATACAAATGGCTGGCCACTAGAGGTGTAGATGAAGAAACTATTTTGCGTTCTTTACCTTTGGATCTTCGTCGTCAGATTCAGAGACATATTTGTCTTGCTCTTGTTCGTCGGGTATGAACATTAACTTAGATGCTTCCACGAAAAATTCTGACATCATGCCTGTCCATTCAAGGATAATTGATTAATACCGAGGTTCACTTCTCAGGTCGAAAATTTGACCTCTAGATGTCCATGTACCTTTTGTGCGCAATAACTTTTTACGCCTTAATTTCCTTGGACTTATTTTAAGACGTGTCAAATAATTCAATGTTCGCAAATTGACTAGTGTCTCTTTTGTTCTGTTCAGGTTCCATTTTTT